TATATATATATATATGACTTGTTTAAGATTTCCAGTGTATCAGTGCTGACGTAAAAGGTATCRGCCCCAGGGGTGTGACCAGGGTGTTATTAATTGTTTTGAGTTGTAAGAACATGTAGACACTTTAGTGTAACCAGTTGCAGGAGTAGAGAGAAGCCATTGTTTTGTTTGATTAGGCTCAGGGTCACACACAATGAATGTGAGCATGAACTGTGTTTTTAGATCTGAAGAACAAAGATACTTAAACTTGGTTGGAACCTGGTTTTCTGCTGTATTTTTCGGGCATCCAAGTTTTGAACACTTTCTTACAGRCTGATATGAAACACTTACATCAAGCCATTTCACCCAGCCCTACCTAACAGTGCCAGTCATTTAAAAAAAAAACATTGGCATCGGCCAAAATCGGAATCAGTAGGTCAGGCTTTTTATAGATCAATTATTGGCCAGAAATCGGCACACCCCTACTATTTACTAAACCCTTTACATTTACTGTGAAATGATTGTCGTTCTTGGAAATYCGATTGACCAACAACAGCACAGCAACAACTTATTCAATAGATTCTTTGAAGGAATGCATATCTCCCACCACCCTTCATGTCAATGTTAGAAACAAGGATCTTCTACGATTTGTCTGAATTTCATCTTCCAACTTGCCCTTCATGCTTTATGTAACAAAACTGCAGTAACATTCCAAAAGTGTTCTAATTTATATTCTACTTCGCTAATGAGGTGGAAAACACTCTGCAAAGTTTTTTTCTGGAACAAAATAACTGGAGGGAATACACACTAACTTCTGTCTGCTGGGAATAATCAGAGACAGGGAGGGAAGGAGGGAGCAGCAGTGACAAAACAGACGGTGAGGGACAAATCAAGGAGACTGTCCCTCCCTGTTGGATCGAGAGGAGGGAGGGAGGAGGGCACTTGAAGAAATGTCACATAAAAAAAGATCTAATCTGGAAAAGCAGAAAAATGGATAGAAACAAGAAGAAGGTATATTGGTTCCTCTCTATAACATGTCATATTTTGATGTTTTCTGCTTCCCTTGTTAAAAATGGTGTTTTTTACAAGTCCGCTGTCAGTTGATGTGTAGAAGCTGCAGCTCATGTCTGAATTGTGACGCGTCATTTAAAAAAGGTAAAGCTGCCTTGCAACAAGTTCTACAAAGAAGCTGTTTAAATCAAACCACACAAAAACGCAGCCTTGCAAGTGCTGATATGCAAGAAGAGAAAGGAGAGATGTGGATGGAGCGTGGTAAGCGGGAACGAGGTGGTGAGGGAGGGCAGATTAGAGAGTGTTTTACACTCTGAGCTCTTCATCCATCAACACAATCTGCAAAAGCTTTGAAGAGAGAGATGTGCGTGCAAGCTTTTCATCCAGAAATGTTTGGTCTGCACAGAAAAGTGTGCAACGCTCCGTACTGTTTGTGTGTGTGTTTATTCGTGGCTGCAGAATCAGCTCTGTCTGTCGAGCAAAGCAAGCGGTTCAGCTGAGCACCCAAAAGTAAGAGACATCACCCAAAATCACAAGGAATAAATCACATTTCTGCCTCAGTAAAGCAAACGTGTTGAGGCAAAACAGAACTTGCATTTCGACAAGTAATCTCTCAATCAGCATTTCTTTACTTTTTGGTTTGCTCAAGTGTCTCTGAAAAAGGGGTTATCTGGAAAACCTGCACCATCACTTTCATGAAATRATCATAAATCCTGAAAGAAAATTACTCAAGAAGCCATGTAAAACTTACAAAAGTTAGTATTTAAAAAGGCATACAGCATAAAAGGTCAGTATTTATTGTTAAAATGACAACAGAAAACAGGACCAGAGAGTTTCCCCTTGAGTATTGGTCTGGGGTGAGGGGGCTTTTTAGACAGAAGAAACTAGGGTTGTGCGGTATATGCGGTAGACAGTAGAAACGTTATGAAGTTGGCCTACGGTAGAAATTTACGCTCTACCGTCATATCGTCATTATGTTATCGGACCTGTGTCAACAGGGCTGCAAGTGCAGAGACAACTGAGCAGGAGAAGTTCAAAATATAATGAAGAAATGCTAGCGT